TGGACCGTGCTTTTCCTGACCCGGCTATACAGCCGCGTCGGGCGGGTCCCAAACAGTCCCTATTTTCCTCACTAACCCAACGTCCGTTGCCAGTGCCGTTTGCACCGGGCCCCAGTAATCTGACCCTTGCGGTCACTATGGTCTAGTCAAAAGGTCATGTTCTGGGCCTCAAAAGGCTGCACTGTCGTGCCCTTTTTTTTTTTTTTTCTATTTTTTTTTGAAGCAAAGATCAAACGACCTGTTTTTATCAAACATATAGTGTTATGGGAGAAGCCAGCGAAGCAAAGATCAAATGACCTCTTTTTATCAAACATATGCTTCACTCGTATGCGGCTCGGCAAAGCCCCCAAACCCTAAAACCCTAACCCCCCTAAAAGTCTATTTGCTCTGCTCGTTGGGAGGCCTGTGACGAGCTCTTTTCAGATAAGCGCCATCTTCTGCGCAACCGGGATTGGGGGTACGTGGAGGGGGGGGGGGGTCGGGGATAAATTGAATGGCAGTCCCTTGTTCTTGGTTTTCTCCTTGGTCCCTCGACAGAAGGTAGGCAGTGGTTAGGAACTTCGGGGAAGTTGGTTCGCGCCTTAGTGAGCGCCAGAGAACAATGTCCGATATGTCCTTTTTCTTTCTTTTCCTAGGTTACCAGATCGGACGTTCGGGACCCCACTGACCGTCCAGGGTTGTCTGATCGGATTATGTTCATCGCCGTTAAGTCCCATTCCTCTTTGATCTTGGCCCCACGGTGTTGGATTTCCCACAGCAGGTTCAGCACGATGGTCATCCCTTGCTCGAAAGCCAGCTTCTGCAAATAGCCTGGATCTGCCACCATGCGGCCAATTAAAGACGTCCTCCCCGGATAGTCTGTCTGAAGGCCGAATGGCCAAAAAAAAAAAACAACTCAAAAAATTCCGAAACAAATCTATGCTATGCAGAAACATAAACTGAACAACTTTTGCCTTAGGATTACATCGAAATTCTTTATAAAAAAAAACAAAAAAACAAAAAAAAACGAGGTTCTTTATAAAATTCATTTAAAAAAAAAAAAATAGAACTATGTTATACAAAAAAATAAAATGAACAACTTTTGCCTTGCAGTTGACGAGGAAACGACAAGCTGACTTGAAGGTAAACACTCATCGACCAATCATACATCAGAACCAAGACAGTGGAGTGGGAGAGGGATAGAGTAAGGGGAAGAAGTAAATGAATGGAGTAGGAAAATGACGAGAAAGACAATACACGCAGGTGCATGTAACCCGGACGCGACGTAAGTATTGAAATTTATCAATGACGTACAGCGGCGTGGACCCGACGTTTCGGCTGGCCCGCCAACCAGCCTCATCAGGGGTCTTGGTCGTCGCAAGTGCGACGAGTAAAAAGTACACTGCGTATTAATAGTTGAAAGTGAATAGTTCCAGCGTCAACCACCGCTGCCCAAGAAAAGTCACGTCCACGAGACTACAGTCTTCCAAAAATAGGACTACAAACAGAAGAAAGGAAAAAACTAGCAACTAACCTAAAAAAAACTAGCAACTAACCTGGTCGCAAAAACTAACAAATCCGAGGCCAAAAGCCTGAAAACAGGTCAGATACTTACAAACCGACGACAAGTCGACTGAGAAAATTGTCAAAAGGAGACGGCATCCATCGGCAAAACCTAAGTTCAAACAAACCAAAGGCCAAACAACAGATTGAACTCGAACCACTGCATACGAAACTTCCAACTTTCTCCAGCGACCCAGCACCGACCGAGTAGGCCCAAACACGTTCCGTGGGTCCCCCTACATAAAGCTACCAAAACCCATTACTCAACCCAAAGCCAACGAAACACACAAATCGATAGGAAAAAACAAACAGAACAAAGCAAAAGCAAAGACCGGCGATCAGAACCAAACCAAAAAAAAGAGATAAGTCCAGTCACACGACCCTAATGCGGGCTTATGAAAATCAGCACCTGAAACAACCTTCTTCAAGGAGAAAAGACGATCCCACTTAGTCAAAATCCCCAACCAATGATCCCAACAATCTGAGAATTTCCGAGAAAATTTCTCGAGAGAGACATCCAAGTAGATGTCAGGATATCCTCTCAACCACAACTCATGCTTCAAGGTTAGCAAGAAAGCAAACTCCAGACCAGGAACATTGGTGTAGACACGGGCCCGGTACAGAAAGGAAGTGATCACGACCATCTTCTATTGACGACTCGAGAAAGAAGAGAAACCTTGTAGACTGTGAAAAATCAAACCCCGCTCAGAAATTACGCGTTGGTTCTTATGCAACGCCACACACCCAATTCTGCAGGGATTATCAAATACTCTGACGGTACAGCCAATGAAGTCCCAGCTGCTGCTGTCATTCGTCTGCTCCAACGTCAAGTTTGGGTCATAGCATCTGCGAAAGCGATCAACAATAGACTGTGCCTTGAGAAGAGATGGAGAGGAGAGTTTGGAAGAACGTACAAAGATTGAGACATCATCCACAATCCTAAAGCCAGCAATCAACCTGCGATCAGAGCTCAAGGACGACAGAAAACTATATTTGTTGAATGCACAAAGTAGACAAGCAAGGGCAGGGCTGATCGATTTGCCCATCGGAATGCCCAGCACCTGTCTCAGCAACATACCAGAAGCACGTACAAATGTGTGATCAAGCTCATGAGAGACGAAGTTGAACAAAGTGGAGAATTTAATAAGAATTCAACTGTCTTCAGACCGTCCTCTCGTCAAGCGTGCAGTCTTACCATGCTTACGTACCAGTACACCAGTGAAACCATCCCCAAGCCAATAGTTGATGACCCATTGCAGGGCCCTCCGAATCGAGTTATGGGGCAGATTCGAGAACATCTCTTTTACATCAAAGAAAGCCCCCAACAGGAGATCATTCTTCTTTATCGTCTCATTTACAAAGCTAATCCCTTCGACAAAGTCAGAGGTACTACGAAGATTGAAATGCATAGATCTAGGTAACCGCCAAAGAAGCTCATTGACAACATAAGCAATACGCTTTCCGCATAGAGCAACACCTTCCGAATGTGAAGGGCAAATGGGCCGCCATCGACTAATATCCTTATGCTTAGGCAAACAATACGCACTACCAAAGTTGCCGTGCGCATCCCATTTCCCAATCTTACCAAAACCCAAACTCTTATGCAACGAACCACAACGTCCAAAAAGGTCATCAACATCAATGGGCTCACGCAGGAAGAGGAGTTACAAGTGAAGAGCTTACTCATACCTGCCCCAAACACAACAGGGCAACAAACCAATGGATCGCCAGGATTGTGATTAATCGGACAATAAACCAGACCCTGAAAACGACACGCCTGCTCACTAGCATAGACTCTGAAATGAAGGAGTCAACGGAAGCCTTGGTCAAACAACTGCCGAGTTCCGAATGAGATAACTCAAACAATGCCGGCCCGGAATCCAGCTCAAAAAAGGACAGGAATGCGGACCTAATCTGCCTTCGCAATGCACCAATAGGATCTCCCGCAGCAGGTCGTAAGATATTTTTAGAATTGCTCATCCATGGTGGGAAGGAATTATCCTCACTGAGTCGGAAAACCACGTGCCCACCCACACGGGCCAAAGTTGGGTCAACGGAAGAACAAGTGCATTCATAAGAGGTCTGTTTAGAAAAACTACGAAAGTTATGGATACGATCCCCGATCGTACGATTCTTCCGCCATACCACACGCATCCTTCGCACCAACATAGACTGCCATTGCTTATTAATACTTAACTTCCAAATAATCTTAGCACATACACTACGAATCTCGCTTTTGCAGAACACCACATCATAGGTAATTCGAACGACAAGCCGCTTACGAATAGAAAGATTGAACCTGGAGGAGATATATTTGGAAAGAATCAACCGAAGTCGAAAGCAAGTACGCTTATCCGAAAAGCATCTAACTGCAGAGAAAGCAGAGATAAGCAAGTCAAGATCCCAGGTGACAAGTGTTCGTTTAGACGAAGGGTTGCTAAGGAAGGAAGACAGAGGGGCTTTAAGACAAAGAGATTGATTACAGAAAGGGCGAACAGAACGAAAAGAGATGAAAGCACCATCGACAAACCATCCCTTTGACGAACGCAACTGATCCGTACCAAACCTGCATGAAATCACCGAAAAACCGTAACAACGCCTAAGAAGCTTCCATGAATCGATACACAACGAACCTCCCCTACAAACAACAGAAAGCTCATGAATATGGCGGTCTCGACAGTAATCCAAGATACGCAGCAAGCTCTGCGACACAATTTCAGTGGATGAATGAAACAACAACAAACCGGATTTAAAGGCACCACCATCAACAGAAGGTACGAGCGCCGGAGAGCTCGACAGCCTGCGGTTCCTCCTTTGACGTCGTTCTCTCTTACCCGGTCTACCTCGACGTCGACGCCTTGGTCGCTACCTAGTGTTAAGTGCAGGACAAAACTGTTTAATATAAAATCGCTCAACAATCAGCAGATTCTCCTTCGAACAAGATGACAAAGGAACAGCCACATAACCCTCAATACCTACGCATTTCATCCAACCATACAATCTCTCCTTGCGGCGACCATTGTTAATAAGTGACTCATTCTTAGCACGGTATACGTGCTCACTCCAACGAGAGGGCAGATCACGACTCGTGCTACCAATATAAACATGCCTGTAGATTGGTGATACAAGTAAATAAACCAACAGACCGCTGACAAAATCATCTCCACGCGTCTGCCAAAAATTCAGTAGGTGCCCTTCAAATTTTGAAGCCCAAGGAATACAACCACCCAGAATAAGACCAACAACAATGAGCTGAAGAAAATAATTAACCTCTCTGCAACGCAAATGGGAAGGTGAGGAGGTCCTGAAGTAATAAAGACGGCGAAATAAGCTCCAGAGCGTCGTCACGTCCGGGAGAGACAGTAAGAAGCAGAGTCTCCCTCGGATGACTTCTCAAGGGCACCCTCCGCCAAATCTTCGGACACCTCTACTGTAGCTGGAGGGAATGGCTTCTTGACACGATCTGCGACAATGTCATCGACAGTCTGCTTCACCCCCACATACCTAATTCCTTCCTTGTCACAGATAGCGATCAATGCATCCTTTGTTAATCCTCGCAGTGCCTTCCTTTCGTCTTTAGCAAAAGCATCCTTGTCCTTATCGTCCGACCCACTCCTATCAGCAACCATCTTCTCTTTGCCTTTCCCGGTACAAGCCCGTCCATCTTGGAGTGCAGGTTCGATCGTGGCGACTTTAGTAACATCTCACGTTCCATTTTCACAATCTTCTCTTTCGCCTTCTCCAAATCCTGCTCAGCCTCTCGCCATGCATTAAACTCACGAAATTCAATGTGCATTTCCTGAATCGTCTCTACTTTCAGTCGGTGCAAATCCGAGATCTTCTTTAGGTCAACCGACATAGCTGGGGACTTGAGCGGTGTCGATGTAGAGGGCTTCGAAGCAGTCCTCGTAGCTGGAGTACTAAGCGTGATACAACCACGCTTGCCAGGCCGCAGCGCCTCCTCCTGCCACTTCTCAGCATCTGCTCGGGCTTCATCCCGAGCTCGAATGACCGCACTCATGTCGTTCTCGATCGACTCCACACGCCGCTTTGCCAAAAGTGCCTCGTCAAGTTGATTCTTCATTCGTTCCTGTTCAGCAAGCAACTTGGCGAGCAGACCATCGTTGCCTTGCATAGCACCCTGGACAGAGCTGGACGAAGCGCCAACAAGTAGCACCCTTCCGCCTAACTTCTCCACTTCCTTACGCAAGGTCTCAACCTCGTTGCTGCTTCCTTTGTCAACAACTCCATCCAGCCTGGCATTCATCGAGTCAGTGAGTTGTTTGCGGAATTCCTCCCGATCCTTCTTCTCCGCTTCACGTCTTTCATCCTCCGCTTTCTCCTTCTGAGCTTTCTCCTCATCGGCCTTAAGGTTCTTCTCCTTTTCAACCTCTGCATCATGTCTCGTCTTCATCTCAACGATGACATGCTCCAAATAGTCAAGTCGTTGCTTCGCCTGGCTCCATCCAAAACCTCTAGCAAATTTCCCCGTAACGTTGGTATTAACGATAGCATTAGAGTTAGATGCAGAAGAAGATGGGAGGGTAAGCAAGGGGGGATGTGTGGGGACAAGAGCAAAATTGGGATTAGCAGGCTTGGGGTGCGGGCACCATCTCACGAAATGCCCTGGATCCCCACAGTTGTAGCAAGTTCGGACGATAGAAGAACTAGGGACGTTGGAAGCCATGGTGTTAGAAACCAGATTCCGACGACAAAGGTGACAAAGCGTTACCATAGAAATGTCGAAGCCACACAGACATGTAGTGCTATCCCTACGGTGGTTACTCCGTGAAATGAAGCAGTTGACGAGGAAACGACAAGCTGACTTCAAGGTAAACACTCATCGACCGATCATACATCAGAACCAAGACAGTGGAGTGGGAGAGGGATAGAGTAAGGGGAAGAAGTAAATGAATGGAGCAGGAAAATGACGGGAAAGACAATACACGTAGGTGCATGTAACCCGGACGCAACGTAAGTATTGAAATTTATCAATGACGTACAACGGCGTGGACCCGACGTTTCGGCTGGCCCGCCAACCAGCCTCATCGGGGGTCTTGGTCGTCGCAAGTGCGACGAGTAAACAGTACACTGCGTATTAATAGTTGAAAGTGAATAGTTCCAGCATCAACCACCGCTGCCCAAGAAAAGTCACGCTCACGAGACTACAGTCTTCCAAAAATAGGACTACAAACAGAAGAAAGGAAAAAACTAGCAACTAACCTGGTCGCAAAAACTAACAAATCCGAGTCCAAAAGCCCGAAAACAGGTCAGATACTTACGAACCGACGACAAGTCAGAACTTTTGCCTTAGCCTTGCTACTGTTTCCTTCCCAGTGTGAGTGTGAGTGTGAGTGTGAGTATGTGTGTGTATGTGGGCGTGGCTGTCGGTGTGTGTTTGTTTGTGTAGACAGTGCATCTGTGTGTCTGTACAGTGTGTGTGTGTGTGTGCAGACAGTGTGTGTGTGTGTGTGCGAGTCGATAGTGTGTGTGTGTGTGTGACTGTATGTATGGGTGCTCACGTGCGTGTCACTCGTTGTGTTTGTGTGTGGATAATATGTGTGTGTGTGTGTGTGTGTGTGTGTGTGTGTGTGTGTGTGTGTGTGTGTGTGTGTGTGTGTGTGTGTGTGTGTGTGCGTGCAGTCAGCAACTGCTGCACATGCAGTGAACCATCCGCTGCGGCAGATGCAGCAACTGCAGTGACTGCGGCATCCACACACACACACACACACACACACACACACACACATAACACACGTTTTATCCACACACCATCACACCTCCCCCACCGTATCTGAATTTTCAAATTTTTTTTCGTTCTTGCTCAGAACTGCCTGAATTTTTTTGGGGGGGTTCCCCTAGTGGTGCGCAGACCCCCCTCGTTTTTGTTTTTTTTTTCGTTTTTTTTTGGCAAAAAAGCAATTGTCCGATTTTCTGGACAACTCCCTGACCGTCTCCCGGAGACGTCCGGGGGAGACGTCTTCCCATCGGACAGCTGGTAACATAGTTTTTTTCTTTCTTTTTCGACAGAAGTCTGTCTGTTTGGCGCGACAATTGCGCAAGGAATTCCTTCGCAATTTTTGAATTGGGATGAACCCATGTGGGCTCTCGGAATTCCTTTTTGCAATTAGGACCTTAATTAGACTAGGAAATTGGGTGCCTCGTAATTTTTCCCTGTAACTGCACATCGCTTCCTGCTTGCACGCGCTTTGCTGCGCCTGGGCTTGCGCTCTGTTCCCGCGCCTAAATTCCAATCTCGACTGTAATCTCTTCTTGCTCTTTCTTTGCCTACGCAAATGTAACTGTAATCTCTCCTTTCTTGATATTCTTTCCTGCATTGCTGCATGCGCTCTCCCTTCTCTATCTCATTGGCCAAATCGGTGCATGACTGGATCGAAGCGTGGAGTGAGGCTACATCCCTTACGCCGCGGCCCAGCCATGCAGTCGTTAGGCACTGCCTCCTTCCTTTCTCCTATTCCTCTCTGACAATCCTGGTTATTGCGCGCGGATGCACAAGCTATAAATTCTGCAAGCGCGATTAATTGACTCTCTAATCCACTCGGGAGTTATCGTGGTCGAGAGGATCGACTAACAAGCAGAAAAACGGTGAGTAGAGAGTCGGGTCAACCCGATGAGCTGGTGCTAGGTATGCGGGGTTGACGCGTGGGCGTGAAGGACTGCGGCACGCGGGCGAGCCTGACTGGCATGCTCAGGCCAAGCGGGGTGAGGGCTCTGTATGGTTTAGAGGTGTGGGGCGACGGACTGCCCACACCAGAAGGGTGCACAGAGAGAGAGAGAGAGAGAGAGGAACGGGGATATGGTGGAACAATGTCTTTCTTCCCACATTCTGTGAAATTTTGACTCCAACGTTGGCCAACTTTGTTGCGGCGGTTTCGGATTTCTTTGTCAATCATCTCGGATTCTCTGTTTTGTATGTATGTATGCATGTTGATGAACGAACTCGTATCTCCTTTCTCGAGTTGTTTCTGATTTCCAGTTTTGTTTGCTCTTAGTTCATGCATGATAACATGAATGATCTGATGTATTGGTCTTTAATGTTGGACAATCACTTCTTTGTTGCATGATGGTATGGACACGTATGTAATGATTGGATCTCACTTGGAATGATGATGTTTGCATGAGAAGGATAATTGCATGCATACGGGATAGATCGACGCATGAACAGAAGCGACTACCACCGGCTTATCCGCGCGACAAGATAGGATATGAGCAGTCTGCCTGCGCAAGCGTCCGTGTATGACAGCAAGTCCGGCAGAGGAGTCTGCAACATACACGCGCATCTGCGTAAGCCCAGCTGCGATATCGCTTCGTCAAAAAATGAACGTAATTATCGTCCATTGAGTAGGATATGGCAGTGGAAACTCCCTTCTGGGTCACCGACCGCGAGAGCCTAAGGAACTCGGAGTATCGGATGTACTGGGAGAGGGAACAACTTAGGCGACGACGAAACTCATGGAATCCTGACTACCCCTGTCAGACTGAGAACGATCGACTGTGTGGGGGAAATTTCCAGTGGGCCATAAACCAGGATTCTCGGACTCTGGACTATCCCGACACCCGCAATAGGCAGTATTATCTAACCTCAGGCTTCGCCGCAATTACTACCTGTTTCGCTCCCTATTATATCCTTCTCCCGCATCATCACCTAACGGTGGTCCCGTGGGACTCCATAGCTCGTTACTGGCCCAGCACACCGTGCCCGGAGTGCCAACAATAAAACGAGTATCGCGAAGGAGGGTTCATCCGACGAACCTGCTCCGACGCAGAGCTTCGGGAACACAGTTTCTGACTACAACCGTCCTCATCAAACTCTGAGACGTGCATTGGCCGACGGCGGTACATGCGCTCTTAGAGAGATACTCATATCATTCCGCTTATACATCAAATACATCCCCGGCCCAGGCCGCGAGATCGGCGATCGCCCCGGTTCTGAGCTAAAATGAGACTCTTGCACTCCTACCCCTGAAACTTGACGTCGGAGATTCAAGATACGACCTGGGACTCCATCCCCACTTTCCTAAAATCCTTGGCACACCCCTATTCGCACTTCCAGGCCCACTAACACTCCGAAACTGGAAGTCGCGCTGGGCGTGAGGTTGGGCGTCACAGGCCCCTAAAACCTCTTAAAGTTCGTGCACTCATTGTCAGGCCCCTGTGAATCGCCCAAGAGCCTCTGATTGCTCATTAGCAGGCGCCTAAAACCCCTTCTTAGCTGAGTTATCTCCTTATAAGTCCATTTGCTAATCGGCGGTTCCTTAAGACCCCTACTAAAATTCCGTCCGTTCACCTACTAGCAGGCCCTTACAATCCCCAACCCCCCTACAATCCAGTTTGATCATTAGCAGGCCCTTAAAAACCCTAACCCCACTAAAAGTCCATTTGCTCATTGGCAGGCGCCCTTAGGACCCCCCTTAAATGTCTGTTTGCTCATCACAATTATGCCCCCAAAAGCCCTACCCCCCCTAAAAGTTTGTCTGCTCATTGGCAGGTGCCCTCAAGAGTGCCCCCCAAACTGGCTCTCTAACAGCACAGGGTGGGCCCCCTCTCTGCAGACGGCCTTTCTGTTGATCGCAACTTGAAACAGAAGTTTTCTTCTCACCACTCCCCCCAACGGCTGAAAATGGACATTCCGGTGAGTTAGGGCTGCATTCGGGGGGAGGTCACCGACTTGTGGTGTCAGTAGTGAAGCGGCCGTCAGGGAAGAAACTTTGTTTTTCCCTTTGGACCCCTGTGGTGGCCGGTGCCGTGGAGACAGGCCCTACACTGTTGCATTGGCTGAATGAATCGGCCTGTTGGATCATGGCAAGATACACGTCCATTTTTTTTTTTACTTTTTGATTTATTTTTTTTTACCAGAAACTGTCGCTTTTATTGCAAATCAGAGATCGAGGCCGGGGACCTCACAATTCAACCCGGAGTTATCCTGGCAGCATCAGCCAGTTTAGCTTAAGTTTGTCTCCTGAGGCAACCTGCCTCACTCGCCTGGAATTCGTACTTCGCCAATCTGTCTATTAACCATGTCGTGGGTTGCTGTTTCCAATCAATCTGTCGTGCTTGTCAGTCTAAATCTTCTGAACTGCCTACTGAAGTCTCCTACCATCCCTTCTGATTTACACCTATTCTAATTATACAGGCCTAACCCAGCCTGACCCCGGCCTACCCGGACGGTGGAACCCAAGCTCCTCGTACCCCTGGCACTCTCCCCGCCCCTCCCCTGCTTGACCTACTGTGGTCCGATCCAAGAACCGAGTGGCTCTGGTTCTACCTCTATCCTACTCCTACTGCTGTCCGTACTCTACCCCTGCCTATTTGTTCCACCAGGACGAGAACTTCAGCTTGTTATCTTTGGTAACTTGTAGCACGGCTGCATTCTGCCCCCAGGTTGCTTTGAACCACTGCGTGCCTGCCCCCCTCCTTCCCTCGCCCACCTTTCTCCTCCAATCCGCCAAGATCTCATTTCTTAACAACTTTCTGAAGAGTCTCTCCGCCTGGGCTTCGGACATGCTATTTCCTTTGAACCTGGTGCCATTGCGGTCTTAGACTGCCCAAATCACCCACAGCAGAACCGCTCTACAAACCTGTGCTTCATAACCCCATCCCCTGTCTGTCGCCGTGCCTTCTGGAACTGTTCCCAGTGTGACCCACCTTTCTCCTGTCGGATCCTTCCTACCGGACCACATAAACCAATGAGCTGTCCACGATTCCCACCACTTCCTGGATTTGGGGCAGGCCCACCACAGGTGGTGCATAGTTTCGAACACCCAACTACACCTGCCGCAGGCGTCTTTTACTGACATTCCCCTTTTTCTCAGCCATCTCGCTGTTGGTAATGCCGGGTGGGACTGTAACCATAAGAGAGAGGCTAACTTCTGTGAATCTCGGTGGGACCGGGTGTGACAGCGTCTCTATTACAACGGTTGAACGGCTAACTGCCGAAGAGAA